ATATTTAAGACCACTGATTCTTGTAAGAGCAGCATGAATTTCCAAAATGTAATCAAGTTTGAACTGTGACTCTATTCTTTATTATCAAAACTTGCAGTACACTCCACTGCAGTTTTGACAGCAATTATGAGTATGATTTATAAGCTTCCTGTTAGGAACCAGATCTGTTTGCACAAGAATCTTGATCATAAACATTACAAAGAACAGTAAGTCCACAGTTTTTCAGGGACATCAGGACCTTACTTTTTCCTTTGCATAGAAAGATATATATTTTTTAATTTAAGGTTGTGTGTTTTTGGTGTTTTTTTTCCAAGCAGCAAACATGTTTGCTCTGAAAGATGCAGATGGAGAATCCTGAAATAACCTCTCCATTTTGTGGAAACTCTGAAGGTATCAGATAGCTGCTTCAGTGCCTGATGTCATTTGATAAAGAACTTATGCCAATGCAATTAGAATGTAATTTTTTGCTCTAGCTTGCACAATATGATATTTTTATTTTCCAAACTTTCTATGATTAAGCGAGCATCTCTCATTCCTTTCAATGTGAGCTAGAAAAGGAGTTGAAATAAATACACAAATAGTGTTTACAGACATTTTTATTCTTTTCTTCTTGATAAAATGCATGTATTACATAGTGGTAAATTTCTTTAAGTGATTTAACTGTAGGTATAAAACAATATGTTGAAGACTTAAGAAGCTTTTATTTTCAGTTCCACAGGCAGAACTAGACTTGTATAGAATAGATATCCATTGTCGTAAAGCCTTCTGATTTTTCAGAACCTTCACTTCCGCAATAAGAATGGAACTTCTTAACCCACAGTGTAAAACAAGTAAGACCCTGTACAATATAGATAGATGACAGGTGTCCCCACTAAGGACAAGAAAGGGGCTGCAAACATTTTGAGCAATCATCCCTCTATCTTCTTCTCCATTTCCATCTATATTTAGCAAAGGCTATTTATAGACATCCCTATTATCCTTTTAAAATCCCTGATTAACACTGCTCTTTGTTTTATCAAAAGATGTTGTGCTCTTGAGATAGTACTGCATACGTGCCGGTTATGTTTTAGATTGGAAAAATGTTGGTGGGAAGCAAAATCTTGTTTCCTGTTTTGTAACCTGCACCAGTAAGGAAGCTCTGATCTCTAAAAGGAGTCTCTAGACAGCATTATTCATATGATAATCACAAATGGAACTTCCTATTATATTTAGAAGCCTGTGTGAAGTTCTCTGCATTCCATTTTTCTGACTATACCATAGAAGACTCAAGACTTCCTTCCAATCTGCATATGGTGTGTATGAGGGCAGCATATTTGCATTAGGGGGATTGAAGTCATTTGTGTCTTTCAAAACCCCCAACTACTGCCTTACCCCTGCTGCCAGAAAGGGATAGAGGGACTGTACTGCGTCCTGTTGCCATGAATGAATCACAGAATCACAGAATCACAGAATGGTTTGGGCTGGAAGGGACCTTTAAGATCATCTAGTTCCAACCCCCCTGCTATAGGCAGGAAGATCTCCCTGTAGACCAGGTTGCTCAGAGCCCCATCCAGCCTGTCGTTGAATCCTTCCAGGGAGGGGGCATTCACACCCTTGCATTCACACCCTTGCTGGGCAACCTGTTCCAGTGTCTCACCACCCTCACAGTAAAGAATTTCTTCCTAATATCTAGTCTAAATCTACCATCTTCAGTTTAAAGCCATTTCCCCTTATCTTGTTGCTACATACCCTTAGAAAAAGTCCCTCCCCAGCTCTCCTGTAGGCTCCCTTCAGGTACTGGAAGGCTGTTATAAGGTATCCTGTTCTCCTGGCTGAAACACTCTCAACCTGTCCTTGTAGGGGAAGTACTCCAGCCCTCTGATTATCTTCATAGCCCTCCTCTGGACCTGCTTCAGCAACTCAATGTCCTTGTGTTGGGGGCTCCAGAATTGGATTCAGTGCTCCACGTGGGGTCTCACAAGAGCAGAGTAGAGGGGCAGAATCAACTCCCTTGACCTGCTGGTCACACTTCTCTTGGTGCAACCCTGGACACAGTTGGCCTTCTGGGATGCGAGCACACATTGCTGGCTCACTTTGAATCTTTCATCAACTCACACTCCCAAATCCTTCTCCTCAGGGCTGCTCTCATGCCAATCTCCACTCATCCTGTATCTGTGATTGGAATTGCCCCAACCCAGGTGCAAGATCTTGCACTTGGCCTTGTTGAACTTCATGAGGTTGGCATGGGCCCACTTCTCAAGCCTGTCCAGGTCCCTCTGGATAGTGTCCGTTTCCTCCAGCATGTCAACTGCATCACTCAGTTTGGTGTCATCTGCAAACTTGCTGAGGATGCACTGGATTTCACAGTCCATGTCACCTACAAAGATGTTAAATAACACCAGTCCCAACACTGATCCCTGAGGAATGCCATTCATCACTGGTCTCCACTTGGACATTGAGCCGCTGACCACACTTCTCTGAGTATGACCAACCAGCCAATTCCTTACCCAGCCAGTGGTCCATACATCAAATCCATTTTTCTCCAATTTTGCAACCAGGATGTCATGCAAAACAGTGTCACAGAAGTGATACACTTAATTTTGAACAGCTGCAAGCATACATCACTTGGGAGATCCTCTTACAGTGTAACTTAACAATATATCATGTATTATTGAAAGTGTAGTAATATGTCACGATCACTTAAATGCCCCATTTTCTATAGAGAGAAAATCATGAGAATCACTATGAAATACTCAGATCTGAATTACACTGAGCCATAAGTTTATATTCAGTACAGAAGTGTATTAAATTTACATAGCTCTGGTTTACTTTAATAAGCTAAGCTAGAGATTGCTGTGCTCCTGACGCTGCCACCTATTCTGTGCAGCTGTATGTGCTGTACGTTTAATAACCCTGGTGTTGAGTGAAGGAGGCAGCAGAGCCCTCTGCCTGCTTCAGCTGTCCATTTTTTCTGTTGCTGGACGTGAGTCAACACCCCGAGGAGCTCCAGCGCTAGGAGACTGAGTCAGCCTCTTAGTCTGATCCAGACTGATTACAGCTAGAGACCCAATAATCAACTACACTGTTATGTTTGTTTTTTTTCCTCCCCCAGGGGTATGACATGACGAGATGTTTGCTTGGATAGAGTCTTGGTTGGTTCTTCTGCACTGGCTCATTTTTATTTTACTAAGGAATCCAGTGAATAATACACTGTAGGAAAAGATTTTATTCTATGTTAAAATAAACTGAAACATGTTCATTATTTCATCCTCCATATATAACTAAAAGTGCGTATTAGTAATGGAAATCCTCTTTCCTCTTAGAAAATATACTCTGATGTTTACAGTGGGAGAGCCCAGTTTTGGGTTCTGAAATTGCAGTGTGCATCATGTCCTTTGTCTGTGAGTCTAGTTAAGTATGCTGTAGGAATTGAGCCTCGTCCTCTCTTGAACAGGTTTTATACCAGTTTAACTCCAGAGGCTTCTACTTTAGATTTACTCCTCGCTTGTATGAGACAATGAGTCAGACTGCACTTTTCAGATGTTTGAATTCCAATTTGGTCATTAGAATTCTGCATCTGTAGACATTTATCTTCACACTTCATCTTTATATTCTCTAGAGGAAATTACTCGGATTTGCACCATTTAATGCTGTAATTTTTGGATGGTAGTGTACAGGATGCTTGGGTCCCGTAACAGTAAATTCTGTATAGACTTTGGAACCATCTCCAACTGCTGTATTACCAAAGGGTGAATACAAAGACACTTTTCTGCTTTGAAACTTTTACACCACTTTGAGCTCTGGAAGCTTAGCTTTACTTTTCCACTGAAACACACTGTCACTGATGGTGTTTTGTTTGCTCATCTTTGAAAGCTAATAGACTGGTTTAATTAATTGTCCAAGATTTCTCTAAAACAATGTCCTAATTCTTCCATTTAGCTGTGGCATATCATACGCTGTTGTTATCTCCTCTACCAGATTTTTGCAACAAGTTGTTTTAAAACTATAATCTCTTTGAGGGGAAAAAAATGAAGTGCAGCTGAAAAGGCAGTTATGCCGAAAGATAAACACAGCAATATTACTTATCAAAACGAGTACAGTTTTTGCTTGCCTAATGAATACAACATATAGCTTTTTCTATATATACAAAACCTGGGGAAAAAAAAAGCTTTATAACATATAAAGTATGCAACATTATTTCAGGCATAACTGTATTGGATATGTATCTAGGCCTGAGAGTGTAGATAACACAATATAAGTGCTTTGCCTGTCTAAACATGTTAAATAAATGAGCATTCACTATCGCATTCAAATACATTAGTAGATGTACTCGCATAGTTAATTTTCCTTTTAATGCACTACACGTGACATTTGCAGCACAGAACTGTGGTGTATCTTACTGTCTGATGAAAGTTCTTCCACCTCCCTCCCCTTTTAAACAAACCTTTATTTGAATAAGCCTTTATGAAACAGATCTTTGGCATATCTTCTTTTCAGGAAGTTCAGTCAGTGTAAGCAAAGATAAAGCAGTCATGTTACGAAGAGTATTACATAAGGGAAGATTTTTTTTTAGTGAAAGATGGTAGCAAGCATAAGGGAAGGGAAGAACACCCTTAAGAGGAAATCTGATGTCTTTCTTGCAGCTGTTTGGTTTTATTGTGCTGTGATTTGATATTCAAAGCAAAACAAACTGAGAGTTATAACAAAATATACTGGATATTTGATGAAAAGCAATGTACCATGTAAGCAGAACAGTGCCATATAAAATATTTTCACCTTATTTTTTATAATGCTGAAATGCATAATCATGCTGCAAATCATTAGGAAAAGTATCCCCAAATTGTTTTCTTATACATTGAAAAATCTCAAAGGAAGATGGTAACTTCAAATTTGTTTGCCTGCTTCTATTGAACAAATCTTCAAAATTAAAAATAAAATAAAATAAAGATATGGCAGCGATGTTTTATGTTCTGCAATCTGATACCATCAATTAAATCTTTCTTCTTTTATGTTTCCTGTAGGAGGGCAGCTCTGGTGTACCACAACCAAGGCCATCGCAGAGGGTGAAGAGCTGATTGCCTTTGTTGTGGATTTTGACTCAAGGCTGCAAGCTGCTAGTCAGATGACTCTCACAGAAGGGATGTATCCTGCCCGCCTGCTTGACTCAATACAGTTGCTCCCTCAACAAGCTGCAATGGCATCTATTTTGCCTACAGCTATTGTGAACAGTAAGTGTTGAATGCTATTTCTGGCTTTGTTTAAAAAGAGCAATATTTTAGAGAATATATGAAGAACTAATACAGCAACAGTGAATTCAAGACCATAGAAACCACATAACTTCAGACACACAGCTCAAAGCCTATGTTGGATCCTGCATCATCTCAGATGCACTCACAGACACAAAAGGAGAAAGAAAAGTTCTTTGGCAGATCAGATCACCCAGCATCTGACTTGCCCTCGTGCGACAGTCCTGTGATCTGTTCCCAGAAGTGACAGAATGAGAAACTGTTTAAAAAGCAGATAAGATAGGTCTGGTAACTCACAAAATCCAGCCTTTGCTTCTCTAGTCAGCTTGTTGCTTACTGTGGCAGCATAATTCATGATATTCAATGGATTGGAACAGATCTTTTCAGTTTCAAAATCCAACAGCCATCGTTGCTTACAGCATCCCTGATTTATTGTGGTATCTTTGTTCAATGTTGCTACCCAAGAATGTTTTTAAGTCCTCTGGGCATCAGCTGACCCTATCATAGACAAAATATAGTATGTAATTAAGTGCTGTCCTTACAGAGGAAATATATTAGCACACAGTGAGTTCCTGAGCTGGCACAGTTCAGCTTGGATGTTCTGCTTGTTAAATGTCATTTCTTTAACTTCTCCTTATTACTACTTTTTAGTTTTCTACAGCCCTAGTATCTCCTCCTCCTCACCAAGTACTTTTCAAAAGTTCAGTGTTAACAGAATCCCACCAATAGTCGTTCAGACTATTGCACGTAGCTTTCAGTTATTTTTCTGTAAGTCTGCCCTTGTAGGCCTTGTATCATAACACTTCCTCATGCTTCCTGTGCTTTGCAAGTACTGCGATTAGAGATAGTGAACTACTGAACACAGTAATTCAAATTTGAGTGAATCATGAGTCCCACGGACACTCAGGTTCACACTGAACAATACTGTCTTGAGTAGTCACACCTTCTTCAAGATTTTCAGACAGGACTAAACAAAACATTGTGACACCTTTCGAGTTGGCAACAATTTCAATCACTTTAGCCAGAGATGTTCATTTTTACCCTAGGAGTGGAGCTATTGTTAGATAATATCTCTATTCACAGAACAATTAACATGGCACAGGATCTTTCCGAAAGGCAGCGTTGGGAGCCCCTTAGATGGACCAACAAATTACCATTGTTTATAGCCAACAGCTGCACAGAAACCACCAGGGAAGGAGTTACCTAGCGTAGAGGGCAAATACTCATTTGTGTTGTTGGAAATGAGGATATGATTTTGTGCAAATTCATGCAACGCTCACTTGGGCTTTGGCAAAAGCATTCGCTTTCTACAGCACTGAATTGCTACAAGCACCTTTGTTGCCCTTACTGCATTCTATAGAGCCCTGGAAAGCAACACTGGTGATTGCTACCTCTGCTGCTGAGAGGAATCTGTATATGTTTATTGTTGATCAGCTCTTGCCATGCAGGCTCAGCAGTAACTTGTGGTAAATTTAGTAGGCTTAACAACTAGAGTTCTAAAGCAAGTAAATATCACTGTCCAGAACTTTCTGCCTCTGCCTCTTCCTCTGACCAGGCTGTGTTTCCACATTTTCATGTTGAGATGATGAAATTCAGCTTCTTCAATAAGTCTCAAGTCAGGCACAAGTTCAACAATATCCTGAATGCACATCTAGTTCTGCTGTGAGGCATCTTAGAGATTCTATTTTCAGATTTCTAAACAAAAAATCAATTTCCATAAAAAAATGAATGTTGTGGAATTCTATTGTTTGTGTTCTTTTCTTTTTAAATGTTTCTTAACATTTCCTGTGTAAAAATCAGAATATCACCTTGGCTTATTCAGCTTGAACTTGAATGTTTTGTCTTCTGAACTAATCTAATGAAATATTTTGAAAGTATCTCTTGAAACAAATTGAAATATTTTGCTTTGGAAGAATTTAAACATTAACTCAGAGTGACCTTCTATTTTTCACTGCTTTCAGGAAGTAATAGTTTTAGATCCTTTTCCTATACGGTATTCTCTCTGGAATTCCACTTACAGGAAATAAAGATAGCTGGAGACAAATTTCTTTAAGACAATCAGAAAGTTCAATTCTGTGATAGAATCCAGTCAAATTAATTCAAAGTGAACATTCTTCCAATAATAAGAATTTGCTAATCTGGAGTTATTTGGATAGAGAACTACATCATTAGCTACATATGTTTTAATAGATCAAGGCCAAAACTTTCAAAGGTGGAAGTGTCAAGCAAATTAGGAATTTTCAGAGCAGCCAACTGTTCTTCAAGGCTGAATCAAAGTCATAAGTAGCTTCTTGTGGGAGAGATTACAGTGAGAGTTTTGGCGTTGACCAAAATGGCTCTATTTTGATGTTGACTACAGTTGCCTGTTCTCTGATCCTGTGGTCATCAGGCACAGTCTGCCTACACTCATACTTTTATCCTCTCCTAGTCCCAAAAACAGGAGAGATGCATCCAGAACTGCTGCAGGCAGTGATGCATGACTGTGGTAACTCCCAAACTGTATCCAGGAATGGGAAAAATGTTAATGACTTAAGCCAAAAGTGTGGTATAAACCATCCTCATGTTTTAACAGTATAAAAAAGAAGCACCAGTGCTTAGTCTGGACCCTATCACTCTTTACTTTATTAGTATAGATGTACCCTTGCAGGCTAAGATTTCTCCCTTGTTCTTACTGATAGGATAACTAGTTCAGCTTTTGTAAAATGAAACAGGTCTTTTATCCTTCACAGACAAATACACAAAATTTTCTATATAGGTATCCTTCTGACAGGATATTAACAACTACATGTCTGTCGGTTTTGTGTAAATACACAGCATTCTTTATTACTCTTCATGTGAATGAAGTATGTAGCCTCCAGTGCATGATCAACCTATCTACTCCCTCTGCTGCTGGGAAGCACTCTGTGCAACCTCTCTATTGTCTCTATCTCAGAGAGGATGCTGGCACTTCAGGATAAAAGACACTGAGAAACTGCATTATTCCTAGCAAATAACTCTTTTGAATTGCAAAAAGTGGAACAGTTACAATTTACCAACAATAAGAGGACAAAGTATGTTGGGAATTTTAACTTCTAGCTTTAATAACAAGAAGTCAGAAAATAAACATTCTGCTTAGTATAACACTATATTGAATGCTGCAGGACCTAAAAGAAACAATCTAGTCTGGCCTCTAGGATATCAAAGCAACAGGATTTTTCAGTTATTCAGCAATAACTGAATAAACATTGTAAAAGCACTCATTCTTTAGAATGATCTCCAATTAGCACTCAAAAATTGCTAGGCTGACTTATACAGGTACACATGATTGACAGATATTACATGTTGATGAAGTATGGGGAATACAGCTTATTTTTGAATTGGTACTGCATATTCACATTATACAACCTCAGTTTTAAATAATTGCATGCCAAAAACTTCTAGCTTAATTAATATTAATTATTATTAAATTTATATTTTACAAGAAACAACTGTCTTCCATGTCCAGCAAGTGACATTTTAATAAACCTGTGACTCTGTTTTAAGTATTTTATTAAATAAGCATGTCTTTAGTGGGGAAGCACAGGGAATTAATCCTGCTGTGTTAATTGGTTGGCACTGTGTGCACTGTGGCTAACCTGCACCTGGTTATATTTGCTTGCAGAGGACATATTCCCTTGCAAATCCTGCGGCATTTGGTATCGAAGCGAGCGGAATCTGCAGGCCCACCTTATGTACTATTGCAGTGGGAGGCAAAGAGAGGGGCCTCAGCTGTCAGAGGAGAGTGAAGATAGCGCTCAACAGATATCCAGTGTCTGCCCCTTTCCACAGTGCACCAAAAGTTTTTCTAATGCAAGAGCTCTGGAAATGCACCTGAATTCTCACAGTGGTAAGTGCCATATTTTGCTGTATCACCTCCTAGATTAACCTATTTGTAGAATTATTCCCTATAAGTCTGCAGTTGAACAATGTGTCTCCATCTATATTCTGCACCAAGCACTTCTCTCAGGTGTAATTTCTTTGTTTTACTTTGTTGCTCTTTTAAATGCTGTCTGTTTCTTAATGTGTATATGCAAACACACGCAGATAGTATTTCTTCACTAGCAAAGGTAAGTTCAAGTATCCAGACACAGTTAGACTGCTGATGCTTGCTTTCTGAAAGAACTGATCAATTACTTCAGGATTTCTTTCACCTGTGAATCTCCTAGATCTCAATCTTTACCTACCCTCTTTTGAATCTCAGTGGAGAGAGGCATACCACCTTCCTTCTGAAATAAGATCTTGGGGTCCTAGTAGGCTTCTGATTTCAAGGAAAAAGGCTTTATGGAGTAGGATTAGCAGCTCTTTGTATGCTTTCCTCAAAGCGTTTATTTCATAAAAACTTCTTTTCTTCTTTTTCATAAAAATATTTCTTTTCCCCCTTACAAATGCAAAATGGGGATATTATTTTCTTTCTCCATGTTGCTAAAATGATAATACTAGATTAATGAAAAGTAAGACTACAAAATTCTTGAGATTAAAAATCTGGAACTCAGCAGGAATCTTATCTCCCTCCCTGAAGGTCCTTTGAGTGTGCTGCTTGAATTTGTTTTGAATTAGGTCTGGGACTGCAGGCTTTGAATCTGCAGAACATTTTGCTCTGGAGTTTCCATTTGCACACAAAATCTGCAATTAAGAAAGACTTCAATGTCAGGATTGGGTATCTTGTTTTTCTTGTGTACAGAGGTGTGTCTGGACAGAAACAAGGGCCCAACAGGGCATTGCAATCCTCCTGTTAAGTATGTGAAATACAAGTGATGGTAATGTATGCTTTATTCACAGAAGAAAGCCTGGTTCAGCGTCAGTGATAGAAATCATGGAGAAGTGTAAGTCTGCTGTATGGACTTAGAGAGATGAAAAATGTTCCTCCGATACTTGGGGGAATTACAGATCTGGAAGGCATCATCAGTTGAGGCTTTTTGGCTTTTTTTCTCTAGCAATGTCATGGAGTTTCTTCTCAAATTACAATTTCCTTATTTGAAAAGAAATGCCCAGTTATACTAATTACCATACCACCTCAATTCTGTCCTAGTGTATGTACATTAGTATTTAACCTCAAAATTTAGCACAAGAAACACAGAATCAGATCTTCAGCATTGCTAATCAGTGGATCACCTCATGGAAGTCAGAGTCCCAGATCATGTTTTGGCTTTTGCTTCAGTGCCTTGGAGGAGTTTGGTATCTCTAAAAATAGGACTAGAAGAGTGAAAAACTTCCTAATGTAGACAACACAAATAACAACCATTCTTTTAGAGGTCAGATCTTCTTGTTCTTGTATATCTCAGCTTTGAGTATCAGGCTGTTGCTCTTTTCTGTCTCTCTTGCCTAGCAGATATTTCAGTGTTCAGTGCACAGTGGAAAAATTTCAACAAGAGTGAGTGAGTGTAGACCAGAGTGTCTTACAGCCTAATAGTTTTTGTTGTGAACAAGTTAATTTCTTCTCATACAGAGAGGAATTCTGAAGACTTAGCCATTGTGTGAAACAATTGCCTCACTCTTTGAATTTGGCGACATAGGTGTAGGGATAGTTTGCAGCAATAACTCATGGTGAGTGACCATGTCTTCTTGCAATCCTGAGTTAAGCATCTGTGTTCTTTGAAAAACATTGGCCTGAGATATGAAATTCCGGTAAAAAGTTTTAGGTATTTATTAGATCAGATACTAAAGCTCACATCTTCCCTTCCTTTTTAGTCATAAACTAGTCAGTTCAATCAGTCTTTCTTTTGTATTCCCTCAGTATTTAATTCTTTTTTACAGTTTATTGCAAATAATACTGCTGCTTCTGCAGAAGAAATGAGGCATTTCTCTTTGAAATATCCTGTAACATAATGATGGGTTTGCTTCAGCTTCTGTAACTGGTCCCACTGAAATGGAAGGTCTGTAGAGATACTTTGCTATGACTGCATTATGTAGTGTGGAAGCATATGAAGCACTATCTTACTGCAGTGGAGGAGCTTAAGCTTCTTATATCCTCCTGGTGAAAAAACATTTGACAGGGAACAACCACTAATTAAAGTTCTGTGTATCTCCTCTGCTCAGTTAAGTCCTAGGAGCCCCAGATTATTTCAAATTCTGAGTGTATCTCACATGATGTGAGAGTCATTGACGCTAGTAGTGAAGTGAAGCACTCCAGGTCCGACAGAACGACTTTACTCAGATTGAGCCACAGTGTTCTTACAGTTTTATATCATTCCACAGCCAAAAACATAGTTTATCTAACTAAGGCATGTGCTTGTATGTGTACACAGAACAAATATCCGTGTTTCATTTCGATTTCATTAGTTCTTTCTGATGAAGATAGCTCTGTATCTTGTTCCCACACCATACCTAATTTGTGCAGGCAAAAAGTTGAGCATCAGTAATACTGAAAGTGCTACTTCTACTCTGTCTGATTTTCAGGCATTCCAAGTTTGAGGACTGTACCTCAAAAATGATATATAATAACCTCGATTTTCCTGACCTTGATGTGTTTTCTGTGCATTCAGAATATCTTGTGACTGTATATGGGGAACATTGTCTTCTCAGTTGGAACTGTAATTTTGAAGACCTTTTCATTTACAAGTCTGGTCTATTTGTATCCTTCCCCTTGTTCTTTCTTTTCCTTCATTTCTGCTGATTGCACACAGATACTAAGGCTCTCCACAGCAGAGTGGAAGTCTGGGAATCTCCTCCGTCAGTCTGAGGAAAGAAATTCTGAACTAATTCAAGTATTTTCAGAGTGACTAATAAATGTGCAAGATTCCTATTAGAAATTTTCCTATTAGAAACATTTCCTATTAGAAACCACTAAGAAAATTAGTTGTTATCACCATGTTTGTACTTTCTATGCAAGTGATTTTCCTGTATACTTCCTGAAGGGGAAAATGGTCATTTTAACTTGTATTTCATTTATCTTTTCTATAGGAGTGAAAATGGAAGAATTTCTCCCTCCTGGTGCTAGTCTGAAATGCACAGTTTGTACTTACACTGCAGACTCAGTGATTAACTTTCATCAGCACCTGTTCTCGCATCTTACTCAAGCTGCCTTTAGATGCAATCACTGCCACTTCGGCTTCCAAACTCAGAGGGAGCTACTGCAGCACCAAGAGTTACATGTCTCTGGCAACAAAATTCAGAGAGAAAGTGACATTGAACACTCTCCAAGTGGAAATGAAGAAGGTTTACAGCCAGCAACGGACCTGTTAAGCAGAAATGATGTTCCCCAGGGCCAAAAGACCATGCAGACTAAAGATGCAAGTTCTGATACAGAACTTGATAAATGTGAAAAAAAGGGTCCACTTTTTCTTCCAAACCAGAGGCCAGAAACACAACCTGCAACAAATAAGCAGAGTTTTTCATACACTAAAATAAAATCTGAACCGTCTAGTCCAAGACTTGCCTCATCGCCAGTTCAGCCTAATATTGGTCCTTCTTTCCCAATGGGACCTTTTCTTTCTCAATTTGCTTTTCCCCAGGACATCACTGTGGTTCCTCAGGCTTCAGAGATATTAGCCAAAATGTCTGAACTGGTCCACCGACGGCTGAGGCATGGAAGCAGCAATTATCCTCCAGTAATTTACAGTCCTCTGATGCCAAAAGGAGCTACATGTTTTGAGTGTAACATAACGTTCAATAATTTGGACAACTACTTGGTACACAAAAAGCATTACTGCAGTAGTCGATGGCAGCAGATGGCAAAGTCACCAGATTTTTCCAGTGTTCCAGAGAAAATACCGGAAGCTGTAAGTCCCAGTAACGGTCAGAGCTCTATAAGCATCCTGAATACAGCACCTCACGCATCAGATCCAGAGAATCAGCTTCTGCAGACATCTTGCATAAACTCTTCGAATGTTTTAGATTTGATTGGGCCAAACAATAAAGGTCATGACAAAGACTTTACAGCACAAGCTAAGAAACTATCGACTGCAAGCAACGGCGATGAGAAGATAAATGGTAAACCTTCAGATGTGAAAAATCCCAATAATCCTTTAGTAGAAGGGGAAAGTGATCCTAATAAGACTACATGTGAAGCATGTAATATTACTTTCAGCAGACATGAAACGTACATGGTCCACAAGCAGTATTACTGTGCCACTCGCCACGATCCCCCACTGAAGAGGTCTGCTTCTAACAAAGTGCCTGCCATGCAGAGAACAATGCGTACACGGAAGCGGAGGAAGATGTATGAGATGTGTCTACCAGAGCAAGAGCAAAGGCCACCACTAGTTCAACAGAGATTTCTAGAAGTGACTAATCTTGGCAATCCTTGTACATCTACTCAAGAGTCAACAGAGAGCCTTGGAGAGTGTTACCATCCACGATGCGATATATTTCCAGGAATAGTGTCGAAGCATCTGGAAACATCACTGTCTATTAACAAGTGTGTTCCGGTTTCAAAGGGTGATACCCCCCACTCTACTGTATCTTGCTTGGAGATGGATGTGCCAATAGATCTCAGTAAAAAATGCTTACCCCAGTCAGAGAGGACGTCCACCTCTCCCAAAAGGCTGCTGGACTACCATGAGTGCACAGTGTGCAAGATAAGTTTTAACAAGGTAGAGAACTACCTGGCTCATAAGCAGAATTTTTGCCCTGTCACTGCCCATCAGCGTAATGACCTGGGACAGCTTGACAGTAAGGTGTTTCAAAACCCAGAAAGTGAAAGAAACAGCCCAGATGTCAGTTATGAAAGAAGCATAATCAAATGTGAGAAAAATGGAAACTCAAAACAGCCCTCTCCTAATGGAAACTTATTTTCCACACACTTAGCAACACTTCAAGGACTAAAAGTCTTTAGTGAAGCAGCCCAGCTTATTGCTACAAAAGAAGAAAACAAACATTTGTTTCTTCCACAATGCCTTTACCCTGGAGCAATAAAGAAAGCTAAAGGAGCAGATCAGCTTTCTCCATATTATGGAATTAAGCCAAGCGATTATATTTCTGGTTCTCTCATCATTCATAATACTGATTTAGATCAAAGCACAAATACAGAAAGTGAATCTCCTAAAAGTCAGGCTCCTTCGAATGGCTGTGCTGTGCAAAAGAAAGAGTCTCTTCCACTATTGCCAAAAAACAGAGGCATGGTAATAGTCAATGGGGGACTGAAACAGGAGGAAAGACCTGCAGCAAACCCACAACAGGAGAACATTTCCCAGAATCCCTCCCATGAAGATGGGCACAAGTCTCCTTCTTGGATCTCCGAGAATCCCTTACCTGCAAATGAAAATGTCTCTCCAGCAGTTCCTACAGCAGAAGAACAGTTATCTAGTATAGCTAAAGGAGTGAATGGGTCTAGCCAGGCCCCAAGCAGTGGAAAGTATTGCCGACTGTGTGACATCCAGTTCAACAATCTTTCAAACTTTATAACTCATAAGAAGTTTTATTGCTCGTCACATGCAGCAGAACATGTCAAATGAAACAACTGGTCACCTCTGGTACCTGTGTTTAGCATATTGTTCCATACAGTCTAAAGAAAGCTGTTTGAATTACATCTGGACAATCAGGAGATTTCACCATTGCTGAGTTGAAGACTTAAAGGTGTAATTTCATTACAGTCCATTAGTAAAGTGTATTATTGGTGCCATTTTCAAAAATATTTATTTATTTTACCAGCAGTATTCATAGCTGTAGTTATGTTATTTTTTATTTAAAAACTTTATATTAAAGTCATTTGTAATGTTATTGTATAGTTATCGTGTAGCACATATGGTTTGCACTGTATAGTAGATTTTAAAGAAAATAGTCACAAACAATACAGAAAAGCATTTTAGAAATAGCTTCAAAAGCACTTGTGTATCCTGATTTTTTTTCTTATATGCTGTTGCAGATATATATGTATATGCTAAAATATAACTTGCAAAGAAGTTTCAACTATGCTGTAAAGTTCGCCTTAAAATTTCAATTTTTTGAACAATTGGGCTCAGTTTGCACTTTATATTTTAGCAGATACAGTACCTTAGTCATTAGGCTTTGCATTTGTATGTAGCAGTATGTTTCTGTCCACTTTCTTAATCTGAAACGTACGTTAAATGAAGATGGCAATTCTTTTCTTGTATAGTACTTGTATTTTCTTTCGCTGATGCATCTCTGTCTCAATTTTTAAACCTTTGCTGTTAAATGCAATACTTTATAAAGAATGAACAAAATTACTGGAAGCAGTATTGTAAGTAATGAGGTCATATCAATCAGTTTTATCTTTTGAAAGGCACAGTCTAAAACAAAACCCTAAACTCAATGCTGCAATTATGAATCTAATTCATATATAAGATATATTTAAATATAAGAGTAGCAATACTGCAACTGGTGATCACAAAGATAATGTTCTACTTCTGATAGAAATAATTTCTCAACAAATGTTGTTACTATGCATGTATATGGATGGAATAAAATTCCAGATCATTGGAGATGTTTGGCAGTAATTTCTTTAACTTTGTTGGGTTTTTTTGGTTGTTTTGTTTTGTTTTGTTTTGTTTTTAAGGAGGATTCAGAGCTCACAAACTGCAAATAACCTCTTAGGAAGAGATTAACATTGTTCCATTTTTTCAATGGAAGCAAAGTGTTCAAAGAGAAAATGAGTACAAAGGATGTTTTCACTTTGAGTGAGTCCTTGTTAACAGGTCAATAACACAACTAAATCTAAAGCAACCTAGTGAACTAGAATTTAAAATGGGAAGTTCTGAAATCAAGAAGGCTGTTCCTTTTATTGGAAATAAGGACAGTGTATTTCCCCAGCACTTGTTCCATATGTCAAAAATGGTGAAACTACCTGTTTCACAATAACTGTGGTGCAATCCTTTATGTTTTTGGTAGTCATTCAGGAAAAGAATGAATAACATTTACTTAATACTGAACAGCAGTTTTCTCCACTACTTCACTACATACATTACTATTCAATAATCTATATTAAAGTCTGAACAAATCCACAATTAAAACCTTTCATTTGCAGTTGTTTAGTCTTCTTTACATTATTTTCATTTAAAAAAAATTATTTTTGTTATTGATGCATTTTTTATCCTATCACTTTGAAAACAAAACCATAAACTGAATATGTCACATAAACAGTTGTAGTTAATTTAGTTCCTGTATGAACCTGAGAAACTGCAGATTCAGAATCATAAAAGGATGATATTTCAACTAAGCATCTGGAGTCTGGCATAAGGAGCTGTTATACCACCAGCATTCAGCAACCCTGCCCCTGTATACTTTGAAATTGAATTTGTCCTTTTGTATTTACAAGTGTGAGTAAACTGGTACGTGTTGATTTTATGATTTTACATGGTCCAGTAGCAAAAATGTAAAAAACGCTGTTATTTGCAGCTCTGATGATTAGCTGGGCTTCAAATAGAGAACACAGATGCTTAAAATTGTGCCAGTTCTCATTTTCAACAAAGGTAAGTATATACATTAATTTCAGTAGGACCAAAATTTCATCCTATATCAGATATTTTGGATAATAAGTCTTAGTATGGATGAAAGGTGTTACAAACTCAAGCAGAGTAAAATAGACCAATCATTCATGATTATCAATTAAACATTTATTAGAAAATATCATACCAATATATCTAAGACCTCACAGTATTTAAGATAGGTACGTTTTGAGCTTTTTGCTGGCAAACATTATTTTCAAATCTTCATCATACAAAATTGGTTTAAAGAACCAAATGATTTCATACAGATACATCTGCATTAAGCTGATTCTAAAAGATTAGTATGTATAGACAAAGCTTTTAGATGCAGTTGGTCTGAAAGCCACAGGTGGTATAATTTACAATTGCTAAGCTCTAGGATATGTCTACACCATGACAAAGTCAAGGATAGTATCGGGGTTGAAGGGAGTACCCAGCTGAAAAGTGGTGCCAAAAGGGAAAAGCATTACCATTAATGTTTCTGATCAGAAAATGTTTAGAGTACCTAATTCGTTGCAGAAATAATTTAAAGCCAGTCATGCTGTATTATATTCTTCCCCCTTGCAAGTCCAATTGCTCACACAACACAGAGTATACCTGGTTTTTCTCTTCATAACTATTTGGTTGAATGGTCCCATTTTTAAAAGTTCAAAACAAGTAGTCTATTCATATGCAGGTATGGTGTTACTGAATTTTGCACACATTTTACACATTTTTCTCACTTCACTGGAGCATCTAACAGCTCTGACACATGCTAAATCCCAAAGTTGTATCATCACACACTCTGAAAGTAAAACCTTACATCACTCGCCAGACATTAACTGTGAATAACACAGAGCTGATACAAACAAGTCCAGGATTCCTCAAACACCATGGTGATAATTTCTTGGTATAGGTACTAAGGGAGCTTAGGAACTAGTTCCTTCCCTGGTTTGTTGCTTGTAAACAGAAAGGGTCTTATGAGAGAAGTGGCAATTGGTGGTCATCCTGGTCATGGCAACCGTAAAGCAGTCAAGTATCAAATCTTTGATGATAGGAGGAAAATTGCCACCAAAACTTCAGCCCTGGATATGGAGAGAGCAAACTTCAGGCTGCTCAGGGAACTAGTTAGCAAGGTCCTCTGCAAAACTGCTTTTGAATTGGTACATCAGTGCTGACCACTTTTTCCTATTCCAGTGATTGGGCACTGAAACAGCATTCTCAGGGTAGTGGTCACAGCCAGAGTTCAAGAAGCATTTGTACAGAGAGCATTGTCCAGTTGCTTCTTGAACTCAGGTAAGCTCAGCGCTCAGTGCCATGACCCTTTCCCTGGGGAGTCTGTTCCAGTGCCCAACCACCCCCTCAGTGAAGAACATTTTCCTGATACTCAACCTGAATATGGTAGGCACATCCCAAACACAATCTGAGAGGATGTATAAAGTGATTGATCCCTTGTACAATAATGTTGTACTTTTTATAGATAGATAGATAGATACAGATATAAAAGAAAAAGATATATGAACTAAAAATTAAAGAACATCAAAGTCAGAACCATCATCAAGTGAGGTGGAGCAGGGCTAATTTATTTTTCTATGAGTGAACATACCCTGTGAACTAAAATCCACTCTAAAAACTGGGCTGAGGTGGGGCTCTGAACAGCTGAAAAATGTGGCTTAAAGAAAATCATGTGAAGAATGCAATCGAAGAACAATGATGTGGGAGCAAAGAAGATAAGGAGAAAGGGAATACTCACTTTGTTAATCTGAAGAGTGTAATGTGGGTACTCTGATGGCTGCAGACGGCAGCAGTTATAAGGCACAAGCACTATAGAAATGCAATATATCCTATGAGGCCTGCTGACAGTGGCAAAAATAGCGATGAGACAAAATCTTTGAACAGTCATTCCAAAATGTTGAATATTGCCAGTATAAAGATTCTGGCACTTGCTACTTCCTTTTCCTGAAGGTTGACACTGAGGAAGGGAATTACAATTCTCCCAGCTTGCCAGATTGTCTTCAAAGCTGAGACACTGGGCTACCAGGAGCTGTCAGAAAAGACATGGCAGACAACAAATGAGTCCAACACTATTGCAAATATGGGAGATGTCAGATACTCAAACTTCAACTATGTTAGACTATGAGCATGTCTGATCCTCTCAGCTGAAGTCTTCTGCGTAGGTCACTGACAGTGCTTTGAGTCCAGAACCTTCAGAGACACAGCAAAATAAATTAGAATGAATTAGAAGAATAATTGCGGTGTTTTGAATGGAGTGAAGGTAGAGCGTGGGGCAGAGAGGTGGGCAGAAAATCTGCACATTCATGTAATTAAGGCTTCTTCATAATATGAAGGTACGTGATAAATGAATTGTAACTACAAGCATGGGACAAGAACTTTTGTCCTTGGGTGAATAGAAAACCTTAATTCTGATGTTTTCAGCTCCTAAATACATGTTTCTCCTACTCAATCTACACATACGTATAAAACATATACAGAGAGATCAGCAGCTTCAAAAGAGGGCGAGAAGCTATAAAAAGTAAGATCAAGCAGATGAATGAGGTGATTAGACAAAATCGTATAGTTCATCATCTCCTCCAGTTACATCTCTTTGTTAGGGCTCTTACATCCCTCATTTCTTGAAAGTCACTTCTCTCTAAGTGCTAGGCACCTTACTTGGAAACTTGGTCAGTTGTCAGGCCTTGCATCAAAAGACTTCCTTGTGGAAGAACTTCATGAACGGATGGGATGGACACAACTGATAATTTTAATGCTCACTTTTTACAGATAACCCAATATTCATCCACCAAGTACGGCTTGCCGATTCACTGGGCATGGGGGCATTAACTAGCTCCCATGCTATCAGGACAATCCCAACATTCACTCAAGGACAGGTATGGGGATGGAAGGGAGTCAGCATTTACTGCTTGTCCCCTCCAATCCATGCTACTCTGAAAAACATGGCTAAAGTCATTGAACCAAGAGAGGAAGAGACTAGGGACTTCAAGATTTGCAACATGTGGAGAAGGGATTTGAGGATTCTGTCTTCATGGTGGTTTATAGCATTTTACACTGAGCAGGCATTGGGAAAGTGTTGTTCTATCAGCAACAGATGCTTATCTTCAGTGTTACAAATCCTGATGTGCAGTATGCTTTTGTGAATTATTTCAGAAATCCCTTTCTTTTTATGGGAAATGTCTTTTCTGGAAGGGCAATTTTGATATTAGCTCAAAAGAAAAGATCTGGCAAAGTTTACAGAAGTTTTTAATATATTTGTGTACTATATGTGTAGCATCAGAA